TCACCCTAAGTGATTTATAGGTATATTCTAAGACCAGTTTGTCGACAAACATAAGTGATGAACCGGGGCACCCTCCCGGACCCAGACCTGGGGGGGGGGCTCGCCGGAGAGCGTCTGGTGGCCGAGCCTTGGGGCCCTGTGGGGCTCGGTCGGGCACAGCCCGAAAAAGCAACACGGGGCCACTACCCAGAGGACCCACCACCCTCAGGGCAGAGGATCGGGGTCGGGTGCTATGCCCACCGGGTGGTAGGCAGGAGCGGGCGCCCTGGCGTACCGCCCCCTGGTGGTGTAGATGAGCTCTGGGGACATGGAATGTCACTTCACTGGTGGGGAAGGAGCCTGAGCTGGTGCCGGAGGTGGAGCGTTGCCGGATAAACACAGTCGGGCTCACCTCCACACACAGCAAGGGCTCCAGAACCAAACTCCTGGAGAGGGGTTGGACACTCTCCTTTTCCGGAGTTGCTCACGGTGAGAGGCACTGGGCAGGTGTGGGGATACTCACAAGCCCCCGGCTGAGTGCCGCCTTGTTGGAGAATGAGAAGGTCGCCTCTCCGCGACTGCGTGTTGCAGAGGGGAAAACTCTGACTGTTGTTTGTGCTTATGCACCGAACAGCAGTTCGGAGTATTCGGCCTTCTTGGAGTCACTGGGTGGTGTCCTGGAAGGGGTGCCACCTGGGGACTCCATCGTTCTCCTGGGGGACTTCAATGCTCGTGGGCAATGACGGTGAAACCTGGAGGGGTGTGATTGGGAGGAACAGCCTGCCTGACCTGAATCTGAGCAGTGTTTTGTTTTTGGACTTCTGTGCCAGCCACGGATTGGCCATAACAAACACCATGTTCAAACATAAGGTTGCTCATAAGTGTACTTGGTACCAGAGTACCTTAGGCTAAAGGTCGATGATCGACTTTGTAGTCATATCATCAGATCTACGGCCATATGTTTTGGACACTCGGGTGAATAGAGAAGCAGAGCTGTCAACTGATCACCACCTGGTGGTGAGTTGGATCCGATGGCGGGGAAGGCTGCTGGACAGACCTGGTAAACCCAAACGCGTAGTGCGGGTGAACTGGGAATGTCTGACAGAGGCCCCTGTCCGTGGGGTCGTCAATTCCCACCTCCGGAAAAGTTTTTCCTGCATCCCGGGGGCGGTTGGGGACATGGAGTCAGAGTGGTCCATGTTCCCCAAGCGAAGGAGTTGAACTATCTCGGGATCTTGTTCATGAGTGAGGGGAAAATGAAACGCGATGTGGACAGGCAGCTCGGTGCGGCATCAGCAGTAATGCAGGCGCTGTACCGGACCATCGTGGTGAAGTGGGAGCTGAGCCACAAGGCGAAGCTCTTGATTTACCATCCATCTATGTCCAAACCCTTACCTATGGACACGAGCTTTGGGTCGTGACCGAAAGAACAAGATTGCGGATTCAAGCGGCTGAAATGAGTTTCCTCCGCAGGGTGGCTGGGCTCAGCCTTAGAGATAGGGTGAGGAGCTCAGACATCCAGAGGGAGCTCGGAGTAGAGACGCTGCTCTTTCGTGTCGAAAGGAGCCAGTTGAGGTGGTTTGGACATCTGGTTCGGATGCCTCCAGGGAGGCTTCCTCTGGAAGTTTTCTGAACACGTCCACCTGGGAGGAGACTCCAGGGCAGACCCAGAACCCGCTGGAGAGATTATATCTCTCGGCTGGCCTGGGAACGCCTCGGGATCCCCCAGGAAGAGCTGGAAAGCGTCGCCAGGGGAAAGGAGGCCTGGGACGACCTGCTCCACCTACTGCCCCCACAACCCGACCCCGGATAAGCGGAAGACAATGGATGGATGGATGTTTTCTCTGTAGCAGCCTGTAAATCATTATTTTAAATCTGTTCTAAAAGCACAACTTCAATAATTATCTTTAACAGTACAAAGGCTTTAGTCAGAGATATTTCTGTTTTTATACAGTTTTTACTAAATATTTAAAGTACAAAACTAAAAGCACAGCTGTTTGCAGTGTTAAGATTGTATGTGGACAGACCAGATGGGTGTCTACACACCTACATGTACAGAAAAGATTGCATCGATTAACATGTTCAAAGTACAAACACTTTTATTGGAGGAGGATCAGTGGGTTCAGATTAAACATTAGCAAGATGTAATAAAACAACAAGCGTCTCTAAAATCCTCGTATAAATGTAGGATTTGTTTCTGTCTTCATTGTTTTAAAAGCTTCACTTTAAGGTGTATTTACATGTGATATTAGATTTAATGCTGGATGATACTGTTAAGTGAACAAGAGTTGACGTTACAGGTACGTCAGGAATAACCACACCTCGGTTCATTTCATACGACCAAAGTCCAAACCTTGTTATCAGCTCACTGAGAGGAGACGACGCTTTGACGCTCTGAACAGGTATTTGAGGTTTTCTTCATGTATTTAAGACTTTATTGGAGCTGCTGTCACGGTTTCCAACACTTTGCTGTTATANTTTGTTTCTCAGTAACACACGTTTGGAGGCGTTTTGCAATAAAAATCCAGTTGTTTGATATTTACAGAGCATTTTCTATGCAATGTTTAGTTCACTGATTATAAAACATGTCTGTGTGTATTTAAACACAACTGACAGTTTTAATTTCTTTGGATGTTAAAATCAATCAAAAATTTACATACACCTGTAAAAAGTTTGTACGTTTAATCACAACAGTCTTCAGTTTCCAGTGATTCCTATCAGTCCTAATTTTCTGTGATGGAATCATTGAAACACATGAAGCTTTGGCACAACAAACACAAACAGACAAACAATCGCTTATTTTCTGTTTTTCATAGATTTTGGAAAATATGAAAAGCCTGCTGGGTTATAAATAAAGGAACAGAATGATCAGTGATGTAGGAAGTTGTGTTGATCAAACGCTCTTCTCGTCACGACCACCAAACCTCTCGTCAGCAGATCTGATGGACGACAGCTGCTGACTCCTCTGAACATAAAAGACTCTGTGATTTGAAATACTATATACTGCACTGTAACCATGATGATTGTGCGATTAAATTTAAAGTAATGATTCTTAAAATGTGTTGTGTGACCAAATGATCAACAGTGTTAAGGTTAAGCCAATGATTCTACATATTATAATCGAGTTAAGATGTTTTTGTGGTTCTTAACAGAGTTCATGATGATGTTAAAAGAGCAAAAGAGGACAGCGTCCTTAAAGACAGGGCATGACTGGTCGAGTCATGTCAAGACACTCGTCACAGGATGTTCACGGGGTGAACTCATTGCTAGAGTAGTTTGTGGATCCTCTTTAGATAAACAGACGTTCCTCTTCTGGTGAGCAGATATATCCAGTACATCCTGTGTTGGCCAAACGGTGTCCGTTCCTGTTCCCAAAGATGGAATTAGGTGTTGCACAGAAGGATGAAACTCATCATGACTCAGAGGTGGAAAGATGGAAACATCTATGAAGAAATGTGTGTGTAATAATGAGTGTGTGTTACTAGCAATCAGTTAATGTGTGGGAGAGAGGGCTGTAAAACAGTATCAAAGAGAGAGACAAGAAAACAACTGTAGGAGATCGCTTCGGGGGGAGAACACTCAGATGTCGTTCTGACCAGAAGACTGAGGGATGCTTGTGGAACTCTTAGAACAACTGGAGTTCTTAGAACGTTCTTCTGTTCAGTGTGTACGCATTGGAGGAGCCACGACAGGACTGTAGTACAACAGAAGAGGAGCAGCAGAACCCTTTTCTGAGTTCTGCCAGAAGAACAGCTTCCCTTACTTCCCTAACTAAATGCAAAAACCAACTGCAGTTGTGATTGGAGTTGCTACTCTTCATCTCCCCCTGGCTGGAGGACTTTATCCACGTATCGGGGCCCTGGACTGGGTCGCTGCTCTGCAGGAAGGGGGTCTCTCCTAGCTCAGGACAAGACGGAGCCGAGTTGATCAGTTCTGGCCGGGCTGTTGGGCTCTCTCCCTCTCCAGATTAATTATTGGGTTTTTAGTTTTAGTCCGAGATGAGCACAATTTATAATATTGCTTTTAATTAATTGGGTCTCATCACATTTTGATAAACTGAATGAATGATCAAACGCTGTTGCTCTGCCCCTGCTAAAGATTTGCAACAAACATATAATCCTGCATTTAAAGTATATTTGGTCTGAAACTCCTTTAAATCATTCCTGAGTATCTGATGGTGGTAAAAGGTTAGACAATTGTGTGCACATGATCGTTAGTGGTTCTTAACGGTTATTCTAAGTCACAAGTGAAATAGTATTTAAACATGTCCCTGGGGTTAGTTGTGCCAAACCTCTAAATTTTAACCTAACAAATCACCAAGTGCTCGATCCATTCAGAGGAAAGCTGCCACCAACAGGCGTGTCTGGTGGAGTGATTTGACGACTGAGGCCACTTAGTTGGGTCAACTATTAGAGGAAGCGAGGTAGACGTCTGGATTAAGGCAGTTAGAAGCTGGGCGAGGTTCCTCCACACCAGCTTAAGCAGTTCTACAGAATCCTCGTCGGTCAAGAACCTGTAGGCAGTCAGAACTTAGCCCTAGGAACGGAGAGCTGGACCAGTAGCCCTGTACGGGGTGATACCGGCGCGGAACAACAGTAAATAAAAGTTAAATAATAATAAGAATAAATCAAGATATGTGATTTTATTTTCACAGTTTTTCTTTAACTACAGCTTTTGGACTATAAGGTATTCTGCAGTGTTTTTGTATTTTTGTGGCCTTGCTGCCAAAACTGTAGTTTTCTGACAGTAATTTTATTATTTTATTATTTATTTATTTTTGTATTTCATACATCATCACATTTCATGTGTGATATGTATTTAGAGAATATATTATTCTCATACATATTTCAATAATCTGTCTATCATCACTGAATCTCAAACTACACAATATTGTTGTTTTTCCTTGAAGAGATTTTGCAACTTCAGATGTTTTTTCTCTTCAACACACTCAAAGACAAACTCTGTAGATTTGTTCTAAAACAATGACTTCAGGAAGGATCAGTGCTTGTGGAGACAAAAAATAATCTTTATAGACTTTATTTGAATTTGTACAGAAGATTGATTAAATCTCTAACGAACACAAACCAAACGAAGATGTCAAACAAAAGCAATCACAAATGTTGCAAACATGTTCAGAGACGTTTAAAAGAACGTATTCAAATACATATTTGTAAAAGTCGCTCTCCTATTAGTTCTTTCATGATTTAAATGTGATCATCTCGTCATTCAGCTGCACTCAAAGGTAATAAATCATTTTAAACTGCACATTTCACAAAACTACTTTCAAGTTTAAAAGTTGCAAAGATTAACGTTTTTATTTAGAGTAAAAAAATCAATCCCAAGATTTATGTGGGTGAAAAGGAATCAAAAGGAGGAGGATGAAGACAACGTGATGGGAGAGGAGCTGCCCGAGTAAAAGAAGTGTCAGTATTGATGTTCTTGTTATCGTGCTGTCCATGGAGGGACAAGCTCTCTGTTCTCAGACAGTTTGTCTTTGTCTGGTCATGTGATTGCTTCATGTTTCTGTTTCATACGTCACAGCAGTGTAACGTCCTGCATCAGTAGCGGATCTCTCTAAGCTCTCCGTCACGTTCTCACAGACTAATAATTCCATCATTTTATCAATATTTATCTGCTGTTGGTCATAAATTCTCTTTATTTCATCCCATTTCCATTCAGTGTGTAGCAGCTCTTCTTTTCGTCTCACCAAATACTCTGGTTTGTCAAAGTTTGCTTCTCTCTCTTTTAATTCGGCCTCCACTGACTCAAGCTCCTTCTTGTTTGTCTTCTTGTCTTTCTCGACGTTCTCAACTTTCTGTCTGACATCACCCGTCTGCTTCTCCAGCTCTGTCTGCAGTTTATTCAGCACTCTAACTGTCTGTTTCATCACTCTAACCATCTGTTCCATCACTCTAACCATCTGTTGCATGCCATCATTATTTGTTGTTCCACATGTAAATAGTGGAACTCTGCGCTGTGACTGATCATGGACTCTAAGCCCCTGGTCCACGTCCTCATTCTCTGGTGTTCCACGATCAGGTGATGAATCGCTGTCGTTTGACCGATCACTGCGAGCTGTTTTGAAGAAAATACAACACACTGATCAACACAGAAACACAGAACAGTGATATATTAAGATGGCAAACAAGATTCAGATCAGGTCAGATGTTTTCTTCCCCTTTTTTACAAACATGAAATACTTCATGTTTAGGATGAGCTGCATTGTGAAAATAAAAACACAATATAATGTTCAATGTGTCCACAGCACAGATTTAAATCTAAAAAGATCAATAACATCATCAAGGAACACCAGAGATTTGCTCTGAGATATGCAGGTTTGATATCTGATCACTGTGACTTACGTTTACATTTCCTCATGATGATAACAGCTCCTCCAGCACCAATAACTATTCCAACGACGACACAAGCCATACCGATGATAATAACAGTGTTTACAGGGTAACAAGATTGGTCCTTTTGGGCTGAAAAATAACAACACAAATGTGAAACANAACTTTTCTGTCAAACTTCAGACAAAATTCAGTATTCTGAGTGTAAAGTGAGATTTTAGACAAAAGTCAAAGTTAATTTTAGGTTTAAAGACTTACTTCAGAATTGTATAAAAAACTCATAACCGTGAGTTTTATTTCAGAATTTTATGTTTAAGTCAGACTTCAGACAACAGTAAGAATGAATTCTAAGTTTAAAAATAAAATTAACCTAAAAAGAGTCAGAATTCCGACTTTACTGTTATGATCTGAGTTTTAAAGTCAGAAATCTGAGTTTAAAGTCAGAATTTCGAAAAGTTCAGATTATATTTTAGATTTAAATGCAGGATTTAGAATTTTAAAAAGTCAGAATGTTAAGCTTAGAGTCAGACGTCTGACAACAGAACAAGTTCTTAGTTTAAAGACAGACAAGATGATTTAGAATTCTGACTTTAAAGTTGCATTCTTATTTTACAGTCAGATTTCAGACAAAAGGCAGTATTCTGAGTTTTAAGTACAACTCCAGACTAAAGTCAGAATAAATCCCAAGATTAAAGACAGACTTTAGCTCCAAAGTGTCAGAATTGAGCATAAAGGTGGAATTTCAGGTTAAAGTCAGAATTCTGACAAAATCAAACTTGAAACAACAGAATGAGTTCTGAGCTTAAAGTAAAAGTTCAGAGTTGAAGAAAGTCAGAATTCTGGGTTTAAAGTCAGAATAAAGTTCAAAACAGTCAGAATTCTGGGTTTAAAGTCAGAATAAAGTTCAAAACAGTCTGAATTCTGGGTTTAAAGTTGGAATCTCATGTTTAAAGTGAGAACTCTGACTTTAGCTTCAGAATTTTGAGAAAAAAGTCCCAATTCTAAAAATGAGCCAGAACTCAACCCAACTCGTCCTTCAGTTCTTTGACTGTTTAGAAAAGATGAAACTAAGTAGAAAGCTGCAGCAGCACAAATCAACACAGTCTCATGGCAATTTGTTAAATAGTCATGAAATTGAATCTATTGTTTCGTGTCCTGGGACACAATTTGTCCAACTTTTTCGTGTTTCCCACCATGAATTTCAAGCCAATACGTTTCAATTGGAATTATCTTTCGTGTCTGGGACACGTTTTTCCCATCAGACAGTATTTGGGGGAAATTAGCACTCGTTGCTAAGGCAACCCTGTTAGCGTCGGCGTGCAGCCTCACCGTAGACCCAGAAGACATCTGTCCAATAGGATCTGTAATGTTTTTGTGTGTACAGTAGGTGGCGGTAATGCACCTGAGCGTTGGATGTGAACCGCCAAATCAACAGAAGAAGCAGCAGCTAGGCTAGGCTAGGCTAGTAGCAAATGTAGCCAGCATCGATGA